ACACACACACACACACACACACACACACACACACACACACACACACACACACACACACACACACACACACACACACACACACACCGCGCGCGTGTAAAATTATTATATCTAACATTTTTTTTCTTCTTTATTATATTATCGTATAGTTTATATATATATATATATATGCATTAACATCATAAATATACAAATTATTATAAATGTCCTGTAGTAATTAACTTTTCCAGTACACAGATTCTTATAACATCCTTTTTCAGTTTCCGACAAGTGTTTTCGCATTTAATCACAAAACATTTTTGAACTACTTATTGTTAGATAAGACTTAAGACTTACTTCCTATATAATCGTCTATAAGAAAATTGCTTTTTGTTTCTGATACAAGCTCGCGATTTTCGTCAATGTCACAAAACATGTATATTATTGTGTATAGAAGCTTACCGCATTGTATGATTGCTCGTGGCAGCGCAATTATTGGGAATACGCCGAAAATATCAATGATGCACAGAGTAGTAAAAAACAACGACAACCCCGAGTTCGTATACTTCCAGCATAATGGTATATTCTCGCAATTCATATTGTGTAAAGTGTAAAACACTGACTGCTACTGACTGAACTGTAAGTTCAGACCGGTTTCTCGTCTCGGTAGACACTGAAGTAACTTGATATCGTATCGAACCTGAGCAACTTACACCGCATAGAAGTGTCCGGATGAAGTCTTACAATGTATATGACTTTCGTGTTTAGCAAACAAATAATATTCCATCTTAGGATACTTTTTGCGTCTTGTTTAAGTAAATATAAAACGTTAGCAAGCAAAACTTTCGTATTACTTATTTAAAAAATACAGTACTAAACTAGTTTTTATGTCAATTATGTTTTTACTTTATTACATAATCAAACCCAAACGCTATATCAATGTCAATTTATTTATGTTTCTGTATTTATTATCTAAAATACAATATATATCGTTTAAGCTATTCTCTCGTGACGTTTATTGTTAATTAGTTTTAGTTAAATGTAGTTTCAAATAATATATAATGGTAAAATATTGTCGAAGTTAGAATTAACATGTATTAGTAATTGCCTACTGCATGTATTTAAAAAATTGTTAATTTTAGTTATAAGAAGAGCTATAGTTAACTTTTCAATTATTAAAAACCGACAGTTACATGATACAACAAAATAGTGAATACATATAATATACTTATAACGTTATTTTCTAGAATTGTACATTTACTTGATATTAATACGAATTCACGATTTACTAAACGTGAAAATCATTGTATCCTTATTTAAATATATTTTAAATATATGAAGACGTAAACGTCTTGTATGTTACTTTTATCGGTTATTAACTTACAAGACATCTAGTTTCTTCCTAAAGCTTACTTTGTACAAATTTATAATATTCACATTCATATCTCATTCGCATAAGCGAAAATAGCATAAATAATCTTTAATCTGCAACGATAATAAAATACCGTCAGACTCTATGTTTTTTCTCATCCTTTCTTTTTTTTCTTCGATATGTACATATATATGTATTTTACTTATGTCAGTGTGTCAACTATTTTCGTTGACAAGACTGATTGCGATATTATAATTTGCATACTGTGATGACTGTAATTATCAAGCGAAAAATGAGCCATACATTACGTTTTAATTAATATATATNTACTATTAATATATTATATACTATACCAATTCGTTTTTCTATTTTGTATTATTTTCTTCATCTTACGGATTTTAATCATAAATATTATATATCTTTTCATATAATATAATTACCTTTAAATCTTTTTTTATGTGAAATGTAAGAAACAAATATATCTTAGAAAGAAAGTGCCAAAAGAAACTGCACACAAAACAGATATAAAAAAAAAAGTTTAAGAACATATATTTCGGATTTGCAAACACTTTGCAATAATGATAATTACAATCGATTTGACTCACAATTGACTTATTGTAATAAACAAATATCAAAATATCAAAATAAACCACAGAAGACGGTGTGTACAAATATAGTACATATGATTGATAACGATGTATAACGTACTCACTATTCTGCAAACATATCTTGTAATTAACAATGTCTCGCAATAAGCATCAGCATTAATCATCTGTTTCGTAAGCAGGTGATGCCGGTGAGTACGTGGGACTCGTTGGCGAATATCCCGGTACGGGCGGTGAATAAGTCGGACTAGTCGGCGAGTAACTCGGGCTTGTAGGTGTATAAGTTGGACTCGTAGGCGAATATTTAGTGCTTGACGGCGAGTACTGTGGACTGGTGGGTGAATATGTCGGACTAGTAGGCGAATAGTTCGGGCTGCTGGGCGAATATCGTGTGCTGCCAGACGCAGTGTGCTGCGGCGAACTTGGTGAATAAGACGGACTCGTAGGCGAATACGTTGGACTGGTTGGCGAGTACGTAGGACTTGCCGGTGTGTACTGTGGCGATGTGCCAGCGAACGATGGAGAGGTAGGCGAGTAACTCGGGCTCGTAGGCGAGTATTTGGGACTGCTGGGCGAATAGCTTGGACTCGCGGGTGAATACTGGGGCGAGCTAGGTGAATAACTCGGTGAAGTTGGCGAATATGAAGGCGAGGCAGGTGTGTAATTAGGCGAGCTCGGCGAATAGCTCGGAGAGGTCGGCGAGTAACTCGGTGATGTAGGCGAATAACTTGGACTTGTGGGCGAGTAACTAGGACTTGTTGGGGAATAACTTGGTGAGGTTGGTGAATAGCTCGGACTCGTCGGTGAGTAGCTCGGCGAGGTTGGAGAATAACTCGGCGATGTTGGTGAATAACTCGGACTTGTCGGTGAGTAACTTGGCGACGTGGGCGAGTAACTCGGTGAAGTAGGCGAGTAGCTTGGTGAAGTAGGCGAGTAGCTTGGACTCGTCGGTGAGTAACTTGGTGAGGTTGGCGAGTAGCTTGGACTCGTCGGCGAGTAACTCGGTGATGTGGGCGAATAGTTTGGACTTGTCGGTGAATATGTCGGGCTTGTAGGCGAATAATTTGGACTTGACGGCGTCATGCTAGGCGATGTTGGCAAATACGCGGGCGATGAAGGGGAATAACTGGGCGAAGTTCCGCCCGCTGGTGACATCGGGAACGGACTCATGCTTGGTCCTGGACTACCAGGACTTCCTGGTTGTGGTGAATAAGCGGAATAAGCTGGTGACATGCCCGACGCGTCTGACGCGCCTGACGGTGAAAAGCATGCACCTCCAGGAGTCATGCCACTACTTAAAGCTAAAATAAAAAATTACCATTTTATAAAAGTTTTTATACAGAGCACAGAAAAAATATTCACAATACACATAATAAAAACTTACCGGGTGACATACTTGATGCTCCATAACCAGGAGTAGCTCCTATCCAAGGTGTCATCTGAGGACTCATGCTAGACACACCTGTTACACTACCAAAGAACATTCCTGCCGTTCCCATCATACCTGCTCCAACAGCCATTGGAATTTCGATACCAGATTTGCATTTTTCAGCATCCAGTAATAAATCAAAGCAACCTATAAATGTTATTATGATATTACTTTATAACTATTATCTTTTTCCTTCTTATCACTTGATAAGGATATTAAAGGACTTGTGAATAGAGATTTACACATTTTATGCTCTCACTCGTGCATCTCGTGAAATATAAAGGATCAATCTAAGATTACCTGTTCCAATACGTGGGAGTTGTCCCATTATAATGTTTTCTGATACTCCTCGCATTGGATCTACTTCTGCATGAGATGCGGCATCTAATAACACATCAACCGTTTCTTCAAAAGAGCATCTGTAAAGTTGTTAAATATTATAATTTTCTATCTTTGCAGAGGATATTCAGCGCACACATATACACACGCGATCGCGTAAATACGTATTAACAACACAATTGTACATATGGTATCGAAATTTCAATATACATGCATGCATTAACAGACTCAGTAAAAGAAAACATGTTCACTGACCTCATAAGAGCGCCGGTATCTTGTCTGTTGATACCGTGTCGTGTGATCGCCATAAGATGACCCTTCGCTGTCATAACGTCGCAAAGTAAAGCAAGATGTCTGTAGTTAACATAAAGACCGTAAAACTGCAAAACTGCATTCATTTCCTTTTCTACGGATTTTCGTACGGCTTCGATGCCGAGTACTTGAAATATTTCACAGATATCGTTGCTGAACGTTCTTACGGGATCCACGTCCCTTTCACTCAGCACCTTCATCAAGCTTGTACCATCAGTTTCCAAAAGCCATTCCGCAATAGCCTTGAATTCACCTGTTTCTGTGATAACAATGCGTTTCTTGGAATCTGTTTGCGGTAAATGCATATAAACTTTGCCAATAGCTTCGATGCCCTGAAATATTGAACAGAATATTGTGAAAATATTTGATTGTATCTTATTAGTTAAAAACCGATTAATAACAAGCATAAAATTACAAGTAATTAACATTTTATATAAATCTATTGTCGTAGTATACCTGCAGAGTCATATCGCTGAGCATGTTAGCTTCAATGCAACGCAGGAACATATCGTCCTCCATCTTGTCTACACTGTCCTCGTCTGTGTCCTGAAACTTATTATCGTCGCTGTTCATTATTCTAATCCGCAGTACCAGTTTCTCAGCGTTGTCGTCATTAAATATACAGTTCAAATCATCGCCAAAGCCGGCATTGATCTTTTCAGCAATCTGCTCCATGGTAAGCTTTTTGTCGGTCATTCTCTTCCTATCCAGTTCAATGCGAAGTAACCACGGTGATATTTTTGTAGGATCAAAATCGGGCATTTCGTAATATACGTTGACAAATTCCTGATCCTCCGCGATAACTGTGTTTTGCGGATCTGGATCGTAGTATATTGCCGTATTCGCAGTCACTTTCTTCAGTGTCGTGTGTTCCAATCGACAAAGCACGTTTTTCGCTTTCTCCGCGTCACGCGCAGCCGCGCCTGTTAAGAACACCGTGAGCGACGGAGCCTTTGGTTTCTTGCTAATATTTATTATTTCTTTAAGACGTGGTACACCGAGTGTTACGTTCTTCGAAGAAACGCCCGCAAAGTGAAATGTATTCAGTGTCATCTAAATATTGGACAAAAATATCGTGAAAATACTCGATTGTATCTGTTACGCTAGTTAATAAGTAACGAATAACAAACATAAAATTATAAGTAATTAATATAGCAATTTTGAGAGCAATCTAATGTTCGTCACAACATACCTGCGTTGCGGGCTCGCCAAGAGACTGCGCCGCTAAAGCGCCGACCATTTCACCGGGCGATACTTGGGCTTGCTGAAATCTTGTCTCGATTTCGCCAATCAACCACTCAAAAGCTTCGCTGGATAACCTAAACTCTTCGGACACGCATTTAGTGCACAAAGTTGATCTCACCAAACATTGGAATAGTAACGTCGCATTTTCATTCGCCTGTTTGCTCAATCTATCGTCTCCAGCTACAATGATACACTTATCCAAAAGATCTTTTACACCTTGAATCACTTTCATAGGACTGAGATCAGTAGGCGCCCTCTTGTTGATGTGAAAAATTTTTTGTACGTTCCAGATCATCCTCTGTAGATTGCAGGGTAGTACAACTTTGGACTCGCCACTCGGGAAAATCTCTCGAAGTACAGCGCGATCTCTATTGAGTTGTTCCCACTCTCTCTCCAGCTCGGATATCACCTCACCCGAGCCCATCATTTCCCGAACGATGTCCTCGTTAAATATGCGCCGTAAATAACGCTCATTGGTTGGATCAAACCGAAATTTCCGGTCGAATGCTTTGTTGCTTACCTTAATTGTAGGCAGATTTTGAAACTCGACGGTCTCGCCGCAGAGACCGTCCTCTCCGTAACGCAGCTGGATCAGCTGACCAACGGAGTTGCGCACAGTGCCGTCGTAGTGCACCATTACTGACTCCATAGCTTTTATCAGACGACGTTGGATGTAACCAGTTTCGGCTGTTTTCACAGCAGTATCGATGAGACCTTCACGACCGCCCATAGCATGGAAATAAAATTCTGACGGTGTGAGACCGGCTAGATATGAATTCTCAACAAAACCGCGAGACTCGGGACCATAATCATCTTTTATGAAGTGCGGCAACGTTCTCTTACGGAAACCGAACGGTATCCGTTTACCTTCAACGTTCTGCTGCCCTACACAAGCAATAACCTGACTGATGTTGATGTTAGATCCTTTTGAGCCTGATACTACCATAGCCTTCAGATTGTTATATTCTGTAAGAGATTTCTTGGCAGAACCTCCAGTCTTGTCTCGAGCGTCGTTTAATATTCTATTCACTTGGTTTTCGAATGTCTGACGTAGCGTGTTACCAGGTGTGGGTTCCAATTCCATGTTATGTGCTTTCTGAATCACCTCTATTACGTCTTCCTTAGCTTTTTTGATCGCTTTTTGAATTTCAAGATATGTTTGCGGATCAGCGATAGTGTCACCAATACCAATCGAATGACCTTCCAGCAGTAACCAATTATTAATGACGGTCTGGATATTGCCATAAAAGCGTCCGCATGTATCGTGACCTAACTCGAGCATACAAATGTGAAGCAAAGAACCAGCGGATGTGCCAAGAGTCTTTTTGCAGAGAATACCCATCACAAGTTCTCCGTGTTCTACCATTACTTTGGTATCGCCTGGTGAAATCCACTTGTACGGACCGTCGTCTTCTTCATCTGGATGTGTGCTGTGTGTACGTATCATATTCACATTACCCGGTATAATGAGAGAAAATAGCTGCTTGCCAGTCCACAGTGCTTTCGGTTTTAAAATGCACGGTTGCGGCATTTTACCGTTCCAGCTTGGAAGAAACATAAGAAGATTCATCATTTGTTCTTTCTCGATAAACACGTCTCTTTTAGTCATCTTCCTCACAGCGGTCAGAGTGTCTTGTACAATTCCCATAACAGGTTTGTTTGCCTGTGGCGTGATAATCTGTCGCGGAGTCACATGAATGTTCTCAACCTCTGCACGAGTCTCCATTGACTGTGGTACGTGCAGATTCATTTCATCGCCGTCGAAATCGGCGTTATACGGCGACGTGCAACTTAAATTCATACGAAATGTACTCCAAGGTAAAACCTTGACACGATGGCCCATCATACTCATCTTGTGCAGTGTTGGCTGCCGATTGAAGATCACGAGATCACCGTCGCGTATATGTCGTTCAACGCGATAACCGCATTGCAAGTGCAAATCTGAGGATTTTGGATGAAACCGCAAATCAATTCTTTCACCGTTATCGCGAACTATGTACTTCGCGCCGGGATATTGCGAATTACCACGTCTGACCAATATTTGCATCTTGTCGATGTTAAACGGCGTTACAATCTCCGGAAAAGTCAAGTTTTGCGCTATGCTGCGCGGCACACCGACCTGATCAATGTGCAAATTAGGGTCGGGCGTGATAACTGTACGCGCGGAAAAGTCCACGCGTTTACCCATTAAGTTTCCACGAATTCTTCCTTCTTTTCCTTTCAGTCGTGCTTTAAGCGCCTTTAGCGGTTTTCCCGATTTCTGCATTGCCCGAGGCATACCGGGCATGTCGTTGTCAACAAGTGTCGCTACATGAAATTGCAACATCTTTATATTCTCTTGGATTACATGCGACGCGGCGCCCGACTGCTCATTGCGTATTAATTCGTTGTTTGACTTAATAATATCCGCTAACTTGTGCGTCAAGTCATCCTGATTTTTGGCAGAACCATACATGATGACCGCGGGTCTTACGGATAACGGCGGCACTGGCAGCACCGTGACTATCATCCAATCCGGTCGAGCAAATTTCGGATCCATTCCCAAAATAAATGATTCTTCGTCTTTAATGCCCTTCATGATTTCCCAAGCTCTCTCCGCTGTGATTACCATCTTCTTTTCTTGAGAGTCTTCGTTCACGTGTTTCCATTCGGCAGTAACATCCAAACCGACCCGTCTAAGATTAGGCTGATATCTGCCGCACCCACCATGACCTGGTTTTCTGTCCACTTGTGGTTGATTCTCTGGATTTTCTTTGTTGTTAATATCCATTTCATCTCCACCTTCGCAGATGTTCTTGCTTTTGCATAAATCATAAACAAATGCGAGTCGCTTTCGTGGCTGTCCTTTTGTTTTCATAACAATTTCTTTGATTTTTGGATTATGCTATAAATCACAAAACAGCAAATAACAATTAAAAATATTTTTTTCATTATATAATGTTAGTTGTATATTATTATCTATTAGCTATTATCTATGATCTATTAATATTTTAAGGCTTAAGATTTTACACTTAATTTATAGAACTTTTATCAAATTTAAGTTACAATCGTATATTTTTCGAACTATATAAAAAAGCTAAATAAACACATCAACTTATAAATTTTGCAAAAAGAAAATTTGTATATTCTATATATAAATAAACTTATATAAATAAATTTAACTTTTGAAGATATTTACAGCAATTACTTACAGGAGCAACGAGTAGTTTGGAGCAGTAAAAACATACACATCGTAATATCTTGATTGTCTTAGTAATAAATCCTACATGAAATACTGGCTTTGCAAGATCTATATGGCCAAAGTGGCCAGGACATTCTGTCATATTACCAGCACAAGTTTGACATCTGGAATTTCTATCAATAACACCTTGTCTTGGATCCATAAGGCCACCCAGTTTAGGGCGGCCTCCTTCCATAGTTTCTGGAAATCGTATGCCTCCATCTGTGACTGACATACGACGCTATATAACAAATACAAATATTTTTACTATCATACAAATTTTTCTTTTAATAACAAAACTTTCATCTATTTATTGTGTATATGCATACATATGCTATATATTGAGTGTATATTAATGCTTATAAAAATATATAAGTTAACACACAAATCAAAGTATAAAATTAAAATATACATACAAAATTATTATAAAATTATTATTAAGTATACATACAAAATTGCTTTTAACTCTTTAGTTCCCAGATTATTTTAGTTGAAAGCAGATAGCTTTCGATTAACTTGAGCATGAAAATGAAAGAGTTAAATGTACAAATTTGATAAAATCATAAAAAAGGTGAGTATCTTCATATATTTGTAATACAAATCAAGCATCTAATATTTATTTACATAAATGTATATATTATAAAAAATTACATGCCTTTTCTTTCTTTATCTTATGTTTCAGTTTATACATACACATACTACTACTACTACTACTACTACTATTACTATTACTCTTACTATTCTACTACTACTACTACTATTATTATTATTTGTGTTGCAAATTTATCATTTAAAAATCCAACAATTATATTTATAAATAATGTTTAGACATTAACAATGGCTGTTTGAAGCAAAACACTGATGATGATGTGTATGCAAAAGTGTGTTACTTTATTTGTGTGAGAAAACTAATATATAACGTTTTCGGTTACAAAGTAACTGAGTTACTTTGTAACTCGCTGAGCGTAATTATGTGAAGTTGTGTCAAGTTTGTTTCAAGAACTTTATAACCATGTCCACACACTTATATTGAAAAAGGCCTAATTCGAAGGCCGAAAACGTTATATATTAGTTTTCTCACACCCAAATAAAGTAACACACTTTAACATACACATCATCATCAGTGTTTTGCTTCAAACAGCCATTGTTAATGTCTAAACATTATTTAATTTTAAAAAATTTGAAGCTGACTACACCCATCATCATTTAATTATATTTATGTTATCTTATACACAAATAAATATTTAAAGTTAAATAATTTCCACAATATACACATCACGATGCAAATATTGCACGAAGTTGTTTAGATTTTAGGTAATGGACTTACGAAAATAAAATATGCAGAAACATGAATTTTATAATGCTAGTTCTTTCGCAAGGGAGTATTGTAAAACAAGCATAATTTTACTCACTATTTCATCTGGTGAAAGAATACCGAATTGGACGCGTTTTACTGTCCGTAGAGGTGCTTTCGAGTCTGAAGTAGCCATTTTGCTAAAGCTTAGTGAAACATCTCGATCCTATCCTCTATCCACATCTTTCTCCCTCAAAATACCTTCTGCCTTCTGCGTCACTACACGAGTGTGACCGTTAGCTAATCAGATATGTGATATCTGATATCCACTTTTAAAACATATCAACGCTTTTCAGCGCTATCTGGTGTGTTAAGCTTGTTCTACAATACAATCGTAAGCTGTAAGTCATAAGAAATTGACCAATCACAATCGATTATTCTTCTGTGATATATCTGTGATTGCTCTATTTCTTGCGACTTAGGGTGCGATCCCATGCAGTTATATTTCGCGTAACGCGTATCGCGTAACCAATCAGAGACGTTCCGCGTTTTCTTTACGCCTGTGTCAAAAAGTC